CAAAGAAATTAATTAGATTAATTATTAAAAATAATAAAAACTTTCTTAAATTGCTGATTTTAAGATATAATAAAGAAATAATTAAAAAAATTTAAGAATTTAGATAAATTTTATTTTTTATTTAAAAATTCTATAATTTTCTATATAAATTTTAAGTCAGAGATAAAATAAAAATAAAAGAAATAAAAAAATATAAAGAGTCTTAGAGATATTAATAAAAAATTAATATAAGAATATAATCAGATTTATAACTAAGAATTTTTTTTAAGAAGTAAGAATTTTTCTTAAGAAGACTTTATTAAATTTTTATTTTCTTATATAAATTAAATACAAAAGTAAAATAAAAATAAGAGAAAGATAAAAGAAATAAAAAATAAAAAAAATTAAAGATTAGATAATTAAATAAGAATTTTTCTCTGATTTTTTAGAAAGACTTTATTAAACTCTTATTTTCTTATATAAATTAGATATAAAAGTAAGATAAAAGTAAGATAAAAATAAAAAAAAGATAAAAAAAAAATAATAAAAATAATAAAAAAAATTAAAGATTAGAAAAAGACTAAAAGCTGATTTAATTTAATTAAAACTTATTAAAAAATTAATTAAAAATTAAGAGATCTTTTTATTTATATTTATAGCTAATTGACTATTAAAAATATATAAAAATATATAAAATTATATAAAAATTATATAAAAATTATATAAATAAAATAGGGCCGAGAATAATAGAATTAGTAATTAAATAAAGACTAAAATAATTAATAAAAATAAGATCTCTTGCTTTACTGCGGGATAGACAGAACTTAAAATTATTAGTCTGCTAACTAATAGTCTAAGACAGCTAACTAATCTAAGGCCGCAAATTAATGAGCCTTAGGCAGCGAACTGGCGAGTCTGCCCATATTGTTGACACTATATAACTAAAAAAAATAAATTAAAAATATTAAAACTATAGCTAGAATATATTAGCTAAATATTTAGAAATATATTAATCCAGATTAGAATATATTTATATTTATAAATAAAAAAGTATTTATCTTAGCTATTATTAATATAATTAATAATAATCTTTTTAGAGATTTTAGCAAGAAATTGCTGTACAGAATTAAGAAAAAGATTTATAAGAAAAAAAAGATTATTATTTAATTAATATTTAAGATAATTAGAAAAATTAATTTTATAATAATAAAATTAATTACTAATAAATTTAATTCTTTGATTTAAAAAATAAAAAAATTATAAAAAAAACTTTAAATTCTGCAGAAATATTTTTAAATATTAGATTTAATATTTTAAAATAATTATAAATAATATTATAAAAAAATCTGCAGTAATTTATAATATATTAATATAAAAATATAATTAAAAATATTAAATAAAATTATTATTAAAGCCAAGAATCTTAATATAATTAATATATATAAAATAAAAGAATTATTAGATTTTTTTTTAATAATAATAAAATATATAGAAGCCTGGACAGTATCTAAATAATTTAATTTATAAAAAAATAAGAAATTTTTATTAAAAAAAGAAATTAATAAGTTTTCTAAATATATTAAAATATAATTAATAAATTAAAAAAGTATATATTTTATTCTAGATATATTTTAAGAAATTAGTAATATAATTAAAAAAGATTAAATAATTAAAAAAGATTAGAAGAGATTAAAGCAGCAGAAATAACTTATCTTAAAAAATTATCTTTATAAAATAAGATATTAATTTAAGAAATATTATTATATTATTAAATTACTGTATTTATTTAATTAAATCTTAAAACTGAAGATTATTAAGAAGATTTAATAAATATAAAAAGATTATTTATAATAAAAATAATAATAAATTAAGTTATTAAAACAGCTCAGAAAGATAATATAAAAAATAAAAAAATAATTATATTAATATTTACTAGAGAAAAGACTAATAATATTATATTAAATAAAGTTATATAAATTATTAAAGAGACTTCTTATTATTTATATAATTTATAAATTATAGATATAAAAGTAGATATTTATATCTATAATAATTAAAGCTATTTTACTAAATATTGCGCGGTACTATCAGAATTATTTATATATATAAATAAATTAAAATCTTTAATTCTAGAATATAATATAGTTACTGTAAAGATATTAAAAAATAATAATTTAAAAATATAGATTAATTTATAAAAGATTATCTATATTTTTAGAATATATATTAATATTATCTTTATAATAAGAATAAGCAGAGTAGATATTTATTTTTATTAATATATAAAATATCTAGAAGATTAGATTAGAAAAAAAGTCTATATTTATTATATATTATTTAATCTAATAATTATTAAATATAATTTTTTTAAAAAAAAAACTTATTAAATAAAATTAAAAAATAGATTATAATATTAATAATAGCAGAGAATTATACTGCTAAAAATAAAATAATAATTAAAAAAATTTAGAAACTTATATTAGCAAAGCTATATTAGATAATAATTATTAAAAAAATCTAGTATAATTATCTTGGATATATATATAAAAATATTATTTAATATCTTAAAGAATTAGCTAATTATATTAAAATTATTAAAGAATTAATAGAGATTTATAAGATATATAGACTTAGTAAAATAAATAAATAAATATTAAAATAATTAATAATATTTACTAAAAAATTATTTAAATATTTTTATTTTAATCTAATCTTTTTTAATCACGCGGTTAATATTAAAGAATATATTCTTTATTTTATTAATAATTTAATTAATTATTATATTATCAGTAATATTATCAGCAAGCAAGAAATTATTAATATAATTAGAGAATTAATAAATTAAATAAAGAATTAATTTAAATATATATTAAAAATTATATTCTTAAATTAAGAAATATTTCTTGCTGATAGATATAAAGAATTATAGAATAAGATTAGTTTCTTAAGAGATAAATTAATCTATAAAATATCTGAGCAGAATAATAAGATTAAATAAATAAAAATTTTCTTAATAAAAATAATAAGATTAATTTAAATCAGATCTAGACTATTAGTTAATCTCTGGCTATTTCTATATATAATTACTATATATATCTTAAATTAAATATCTATCTTAAAAAATAATATATTCTAAAAGATCTTATATAAATTAATATATAGAATAAAGTCTTTACTAAGTAATCTTAAAATAATAAATTATAGAATATATATACAGAAGATTATAATATCTAAACTAGCTAAGTTAAAATCACGTGCGTGGATTGGATTTCTTATAGGCTTCAAAGCCTCGAATATATGGTTTATCTGGAACTTTTGAAACAGCAAGGTAACAGCGGAGAGGCCACAAAGAGCCAGATTCTTAGCTATTCACAGAAGATTAAATCCGCGCAATTCAATGCTGTGATAATATATTCTAATATCTTAAAAATAATATTATATTTAGTCAAATTTATAATCAATCCTGAGCTGAAATATTAGAAAATAGTAAATTATTTATTTTAGTATCTCTAAAATATATAAGATAGATATATTTAATATTTAGATATTATTAAAAATAAAAGAATACTTTCTGAAAAAATAAAAAAAAATATAATTAAAATTATTAATAATATAGCTTATATAAATCTTAAAAATCAGCAATTCTTAGAAGACTATATATATTATTTATATAAAAAATTTATTAATTAGTAAGCAAGTAAATAAAAAATAATAATTATATTAATAATAAAAGCCGAATTACTTATAATATTAAAAATTATAAAAAATATATTCTAATAAAGATATTTTTTTAATATTATTAGATTTAATCCTGATTATACTATATTAATTAATTATAATAATTAATAAATACTTTAAATCCTGATTAATAAAAAACTTTATATAATAATCTATCTTTATTATATTAATATTTATTAATATTAGCTTTGCCAGAAGATTTAGAACAGCTGAATTAATATATATTAATAATTTATAAATAAGATAGCTGCTGATAATCTTACTAAGTTATTAATATCTTAAAATTATATAAAATTTATTAGATTATTAGAATTAATTAATCAAGCTAATTAGCTATCCCGCTGCTAAAATTACTATATTTAAAAATTAATTTAATATTATATTAATATTTACTACTAGAAATTGTAGTCTTTGCAGACTAAAGAGAATATATTAAATAAAATAAAGACTTAATATAATAATAGAATAAGATTTAGTTTTTTAATCTCTGATTAATCTGGATCAGCCTATATATAGCCTTATACATAACTTTATATATACCTGATTATTGCCTGATTCTATGTCTATATAGCCCAACTGCCTGCGCAGCAGTATCATAGAATCAGACCTTTATTATATCATCATTCTAGACCTGACAGTTAGCCCCTTGCCACTTCTAACCTGTTGTCCATTTTAGCCGCCTTCAACCTTAAATATGAGAATAAGATTCAAATAATCGCGTAGCGGCGGTAACACAGTCAATGTTTGCAGGGGTAACCAAAAGGGATTGCGGGGGTAGAGAGAGAACCGTGAGATAAAAGCCAATATTCCCAGCCACAAATCATTACGTTCTCTACAGTAAACCCTCGCTATTATTGTAATTGGTACTTGAAGGCAGCCAGCAGGGGGGGAAAGGCGGTAACAGGATTTTATACACCTCCCGGGACCTGCCGATCAATAAGATACTTGGATCATTGTATACGCGCAGTTTTTGCGTCCGGCCAAACGCATGATGAATAGGGGACCCCGCACGGGTACGGAGTGCGGAGTACGGAGTACATCATAGAGAAATGGAGAGATGACTTTGTACTAAGGATACAGAGGAGATGCCGGAAGGGGCCATCCACCAATGAGCAAGAGCCCTTTCGCGGAATGAATTCCACAGTATGCCGCATAACAAAGCTGTCATGTGACAGACCCACTTATGCCCAAGACCACGTGATCAACATGTGGCAGGTCATGTGCAACATGTTGTTATCTTCCGCGCCGGCCCGCGTGCGGAGTAGGAGGTTAAACGCCTTCTCGCCCAAGTTGCTCCCAAGGCTTGATTCTTTTAAGACAGCAATACAACTGTATTATTGATACAATTTTTACGGTCCTCCTTGCCCCAGCCCACGACCAGGCAGGTCCTTTAGTTAAGATGTCCAAATTATCCTCCCCGCTCAAGGCGTTGATCAACAGTCCGGCAGCCCGCCCGCACACGGTCCCTGCACCCCGCCATATCGAGTCTGTATATAAGAAGATCCAGCACCAAGCGCAATCAAAAAGTCTCTCCCAATCGTCATGGCTAGCTCTCTCAGTAAGTTTCTCCCAACCGAGAAAGGGAGGTGTTACCAGATAGATAAATAAAGCTAACCTAGGCAATTCCTGCTCACAGACAGCCACCACTATTACAATAAACTCGCCCGAGTCCCTTACAGCCCTTTACCGGCTTGCGAGCACGTCCCAATCCGCCCCGGAGAGCGTCGCGACTGCTGAATTTATGCGCGAAGTCGGCCTGAAATGTATCAGTTTTAACGGTATCCCGCGAACAATCAACTGTCTCAATGCCTTCAAAGCCAGCCTCCCGGAGTCCGTCAGCGCCCAGCTATCGACAACGCCTACACGTGCCCCAACCGCCGACAACATCCAAGAGATCTGTTCCCGGGGCCAGAGGCTATGGGACTCGATCTACCGGCCCTTCGAGACAAAGCTCTACAATAAGCTCGCGGGCTCACATCCAGACTTGCCGGTTCACATCCTCAACGGAAACTACGGGGCGCTGCTTTCAGACCCGGCGCGGAATACAGGAGCCAGCGTGGGACGACTAGCGACGTCTATTATAGCGGTTGCTTGTCTGCGTGCGCAGACGGGGGTGGGACCTCAGGTGACATCGCACATATTTGGACTTCGGAAAGCTGTGGATGATGGGACTTGGGTTAGTGATAGTGAGACGGAGGAGGGAGCCAGGTGGTTGGCTAGTGATGAGGGGAACACTTGGATTTTAGAGAGCGTGGATGAGATTGTGGATATAATTAGCAACGGGTCTGGTTCGAATTTTGCGCCTAGGACTGAGAGGGCATCAAAGATTTAGATAGAATAGAGATTTTATTTTGCTATCTTGTGTCTCTGTCGTTGGGTTTGCATAATAGAGATTGGTCGGTTCTTAACTTACTATTGCAGTTGGTTGATGTGACTGAAGCACCAACACCATATTGATTCCTGGCCAAGATAGCCGTGATTCAGGTACCATTCCCAATCAGAAAACAGAAGCACCCCCCGGGGTCGGGTCCCGGGAGGGGATGCTGCGAGATATTTCTGACAGTGAGTCCTTGGCGTCGGAAGGGATCAGAAGACAGTTCCGACTCCCGAGGCAGGCTTAAAGTTCTTGGCCTCTGCACGGTTGAGGCTTTCATCACACTTTGTGAGAGTCCGATTGGGACTTGGACCATGCGGGTGGGAACGGTGCTATTATTACTCCAGACGGAGATAGGTAAAAAGACGGGCGAGCTGAGTTACATGCATTCCCCATATCCTGTTGAATTCTTGATTATCTTCAGGAAGAGTCTGGTAGACCTTCAAATAGGCGTTGATCCGAGGGGCTGGCAGCGGGTATTTAACGGCCGTGTACGGAGGGTTTTTATTGTTTGTCACAGCCTAAACCGTAACTAACTAACAGGAAGGGTTTCAGGCCTGATTTCCGAGGCAACGAATCCCAGGCCGTTCCGTACGGGGAATAATGATCTAGTACTGGGATCACCACGCCCATCAAACTCTGGCTGGGTGGCATCAGTAGGCGCCCAAGGGACACAAAGTGGACGCGACAAGTTCCCCCGCTTCTCGAGTCTTCACAAGATAGTTCGCCAGGACGGTTGGCAGCCGGAACATGGGAGTGACAGCGATGCATTGGCCGCTCCACCGTCACACCCCGTCGCTCGCTAGTGCTGAAGTAGTGCCTCTGACTGGGCGGCCCTGGGGCTGGGAAGCGCCCGACTGGGGCCTCCGGGATCAAAGCTCCCAGGATTATTCGCACGGTCCGGGCATCCACCCCCAATCAGCGGCCCTGGCCGTGAGGAAGTCGGGAGGGGATCAGTTGCTCCGACAATGCAATGGTCTCCATTGGTCGAGGGCAGGAAGCGGTTGCTAAAACGAATCCACGTATCACAATACTAATCACAAGGAGGAGAGGCCGCTGCGTCGGCCTATTGTGAAGAAGCGGCCGATCAGGTGGTCGTCTCGTTTGGCGCCGACAGCTATGTATTCCAGGTCTTTCCCCTCCACCATGGCATTGCTGTTCCATGCTGCTTTCTCCAAGCCAGGCTGCACCAATTCCCACGAAGTGACTTGGTGACTTGAAGCTTATCTGTGCTACATCATCCCATCCTCTTTACGCAGCCCCCCCGGGGGAAACTTTACGAACCTTGCCTCCCACCGATCTATCTACCATGTCATTTGGAACGAGGATACCATAAAACATCATTCATTGACTGAGTGGGTGGCCGAGTGGCGTTTTGTAACGATCTCAAGCCATCAGTGTGTTTATGGGGAAACTACCGCATCGCACCGACTCTTTCGCGGGACAGAAGACGCTTGAGACTCGACCACTGTGTGACATAACATAAACTTAACCCATCATGGGACGGCTTATTAAAAACCATTGGGCGCGCCTTATCATCCTCACAGCTTCTGCCTGTAGGTGGACTTGCTTAAACCCCCAATTGCCAGGACAAAGCTAATCTGGGTATCTCCATGGACAGACCAAATAGGCGGCGCAATCGAGGGCTTCATCTGGCCCAAGGTATTCTGGGACTTCATGACAGACAATCTGAACGGCGCCGTGAACCCGATCCCGGTCCTGCAGATTCTCAACCTCCTCATGGGCCTCGTCTGCATTGCGTGGGAATGGCCATTGAAATACCTCGCGGGATCTCCACCACACCGCAGCATTGAGTTTCGATTGATCCTCTATCCCCTCAGCGCTCTGCTCTCCATGCTCCTCTACCAGGGAACAGACCCTGCGATATACTACCTGATTGGAGTGGGGGTGTATTTTTGGGCCTACAGCGAGGGCGAAGTGCGTACACCTGATACAGTCTCTACATTCTGAAATCCTGGTCTAATGGGAAATAGGTGGTTTGCCCGCAACCATGGACTCTGCCGAAGCGAAGCGAATACAAAGTCTAGCACGACACATATTGTACGCAAATTTGACGACCACAATTGATACCTATTGCCACATTCACGACATTATGCCTCCGCGATCTTCGAATAACAGCAATACCCCTGTGTTCTATTGGCGTTGGGAAAGAAAAAGCGCCTTCACCAGTCAGCGATGACTATCCATCTAATAGTTATTGGCCTGTAACGTTTCCATACTTGGCTAGTCCCAGTTTGCACAGTAGAACTGCAATCTGCTCTTATGTACTGTATTATAGCTCATTTTAATTACCTATACCACACCCAACTAAGTGCCTGGACACCTATTCTAGTGGAGTAGTACTAGTAAGTAGTTTAAGCTAGCACTCGGAGCATATCAGATCAAACCCGCAGTTGATGGAACTCGATTTTGGACTGACTGTCGCCATATCTGGAACTAGTCTAGATTCCGCCGTATTTTCTGCATGATACTTGCAGATACCTCACAAATACACCGTCGAGGAACCAGGAGCAACGATGCTCGGTTTATACTTAATGCCTTATTTCTGCCCTTTATATCAGGCATGAATACACGTGATCCAGTCCGGTTAGTCTCACACCACGCCTCAGGCCAACATCGAGAGGAGGCAAGACCTCCCACCTAATCCACCGACCATGAACCATGGACGGATGTCGTCCTGTCAGAACTCTTCTCCTGCCACACCACTAACTGATCCAACATTCACAGCAACATCTCACCTATAACTATCCTAGAAACCCATACCCTGCGCACCCATGAACAATGCCACCTCTCCTCTCCAATTCGCCCCCGAGGGACTCCCTCAGGTCCGAGTCCGACAACGACACCAATCGCGCCAATGACAATAGCAATGGCAGCGACAATGGAAGTGACTACGACGTTCCTGTGAACAAGAAGACCAGCTTCCACGGGCACCTCAACCAATACTTCCACACCACGAAGAACATCATCCCCGCGCAATCGCAACCCACCACCAAACCCACCACCACCACCACTACACGCACAACCACACGCACAATCACACGCCCAGTCACGAGACGCACCCCAATCTCAGCTCCATCCACTCCCAATCCTTCTGACGAAAAACAAGCCTCAACCTCTCTAAAACGAAAACGAACCCGAAACGCAGACTCAGACTCTACAACAAACCCACGCACCACCCGAACCCGCTCGCGCATATCCAGCCCTTCCAGCACCAACACCAACACCGACCCACCTCCCTCCCTCCTGATCGACACCATCCCGCCCAACCTCACCCTCCTCCTCGTAGGTGTAAACCCAGGCCTCCTAACGGGCCTAACGGGCTTCTCCTACGCGCACCCGTCGAACCTCTTCTGGAAACTCCTGCACTGGTCCGGGATCACGCCCATCCGCCACCGCCCCTCAGACACCTACCGCCTCCCAGAACTGTACAATATCGGGAACACGAATATCGTTTCGCGGCCGACGCGCGACGCCAGCATGCTGAGCCGGGCGGAGATGGACGCGGGGGTGCCGGTGCTGGAGGCCAAGGTTGCCCGCCAGCGGCCCGAGGCGGTGTGTCTCGTGGGCAAGAGTATCTGGGAGGCGGTGTGGAGGGTGCGGCGCGGACGGGGGATCAGGAAGGAGGAGTTTCGCTATGGGTGGCAGGACGAGGGCGAGAATATGGGCAAGGAGGCCGGTGGGGGGTGGGCTGGCGCGAGGGTGTTTGTCGCGACTACCACGAGTGGGCTGGCTGCTGGGATGTCAGTCGCGGAGAAGAGGGAGGTTTGGGCGCTGCTGGGGGAGTGGGTTCGTGGGAGAAGAGCGGTGTCGAAGGTGTAGATATGTACTGCGTAGACGAGATATCTATTGTAGGTCTGGAATGTCCCAATAGCGATTGGAATGCCACATGGATATCAATAATGACGAGTGACCCTCCCTCTATTCTATTATATGTCCAAGTAGCCAGACCGCCCAGCCTCTACCGTCAGGAAACATGCAAGGTAGTCATGTGACTGTGGGCGTGTGTGACTGTTCTAGTTACTCCGTACGGAGTATATTACCCCGCCAGCGCGGGGGGTTCCCTGGGTGGTTCGGGCTCCGGGGGTGTATCTTATCCCGCCCGGAGTACAGAACAGCAATGATCACCCCGCGGATACAAGAAGGGACTAGTTATTACGTCTTGATTTGTATCAAATACTACCTCACCCAACCAACGGCAGTACACAACATAGGGTTGAACCAGTAGTTTTTTAAGAAAAGTAAATCATGATCTATATACACACATAAAACATCATCATCGGGGGAATCTATTGTTGAAGCCAACCAACCAACCAACCAACCAGCCAAGCTAAGCCAAGCCAAGCCAAACACCCACTGTATCTATGCAATCCATGTTCCCTTTAAGCCTTGCGGTAGAACTTGCTCTCCACCCAGGGCATACCCGTCACAGTAGCCTTACGGACCTTATTCCGGACGAGAACACCGACCTCGGTTCCCTTCTTGTGCAGACCGTTCTTGATGTATCCCATGGCAATGTTCTTTCCGTCCAGGGTGGGACTGGGCAGACCGGAGGTGATAACGCCGATCTGGGTGCAGGATTTATCGTTCAGGTCGACGATGATGGCGCCTTCGCGCGCCGGGGATCCCTTCTCGACGGTGAAGCCGACCCGGCGTTGAGAGAGGGTCTTGGGGGATGCGACTTGGGGGAGGATGGAGGCGGCGCCGTTGAAGGTGGCGGTTGCGGGGTCGCGACGCTCCTTGCCGACGAGCCAGGTCAGGGACGCAGCGGGGGGCGTTTGGGAGGTGGAGATATCGCTGCCATAGAGACACATGCCGGCTTCGAGGCGGAGGGAGTCGCGGGCGGCGAGACCGGCAAGACGGACTTCGTCCGGGTTGGAGAGGAAGAGGTCGGTGACACGGGCGGGGAGAGTTGCGTCGACGGCCGTGGGGATGGAGATCTCGAAGCCATCTTCACCGGTATAGCCCGTTCGGGAGACGAGGAGGGGTTCCGGGGTGGAGGTGCCATCGGGGAAGATGAGGTTAATCTCACGGCAGTTGCCGAAGTAGAGGGTGGAGAGGTCGGAGTCAGGGGTGAGGGATTGGAGGACAGAGGCGGCCTTGGGGCCCTGCAGGGCGACTAGGGCGCGGTCGCCGAGGATCTCCCATTTGATGCTCTCGGGGCCGTGGGCTTGCTTGTAGGCGTCGATCTCCGCCTCCAGGAAGACGAGGTCCTCCGTGCGGCGGCCCGCGTTGGTCACGAAGTAGAAGCTGTCTTCAGTGCGGCGGGTAATGACGGTGTCGTCGATGATGCCGCCCGTTCCTTCTTCTAGGAGGCAGGAGAGGGTGGATTGGTTGTGACCGAGCTTGTCGAGGGAGGAGGGGGTGACCTTCATGAGGAGATCAAGGGCGCCGGGGCCGCTGAGTTGGTGTTGGACCCTGGGGGTTAATTAGTGGGGGTTTTTTGCCAAGGGCGAGTGTTTCTCTCAGGGTGGTTGGAAAGGGTGCGTACATATGGCTGACGTCGAATAGACTGGCCTTCTCACGGGTCCATTTGTGGCTCTCAACATGGCTGAGGTCGGAGTACTGCAAGGGCATGGAGAACCCCGCAAAGGGGACCATCTTGGCCCCGCGGGCCAGGTGCAGGTCATACAGCTGGGTTTTCTTCACTGGGCCAGAGGGGGCAGAAGAGGCATATCGCACGCCTCCGTGGGAGGGCAGCGAAGCAACTCGGGGGAGGGGACGGGCAGCAGGGACGGTGATGGTCGCGGAGCGGAGAGCGCGCGGAGAAGCAGCCAGCTGCCGCGGGAGAACAATAGAGCCATTGGCAGCGATGGTGGCGGAACGGGCGAGCGAGCTCGATCCCAGAAGACGAAGGCCTTTTCTCATAGGGCGTACAGCAGACATGATGGACGATTTGGACAGGGTGAGGGAGAAAAAAGGGATAAGAAAGAGAAAGAGCGAGGAGACGAAGTAGGTGGAGGTCAAGACCGCTGCGGAGAACCTGCCCAGATAGTAGCCGGGAAAGTCACCTGCCGATAGGGTATCTCCGCGGGAAGGGTCGACGGTCCGGACGGTCGCCGACCCATGGCTTAGTCAGTCGGATTCGGCACCCTCACCGCCCGTCTCCTGCGGTACAACTAGCGCAGCCTTGGCAGGTCAGGCTGTGTATGGTTGTATTATTCACCTCGAGCCTGACACGTGACACAGCCACGTCTCTCAGCCGCAGCGTCTCCACCTCCACCTCCACCCTCCACCATGGGGCAACGCTCCCTCATGCTCCGATCCCTGGTACTATCTACTACTAGCAGTCATCGGGTCTTGTTTATTGAGCCATGTGCAAAGATTCCCGAGCCTCCCCCAGCAGTAAATCAGTCTGGATCAAGGAACACTGTCCCACCGTGTTCACGCGTTTGATTACCCGATTTCAGAAAGGCAGACGCTTGAACATGGCCCACTGCTCACTTCTAGATGTTATCCGCCAGGGAAAGTTCGCGTCTCTCACTAATGAGGCGGTTCTGCAGCTGCTCGGCCGTCAGTTCGAGCACGATCTCAAGGGCTTAAAGAACGTCCCATCCAACATCGAGGGCGGAGGTACTCTAACCAAGGGCGCGTTGACCAGGCAGCGGTCAACGGAAGCGACAGCACAGCAAGCACTCACACCATCACAATATCTCTATGATCATGACTATTCCGAGGTGAATCGCACCCTACTTAACATCCTCGCCCTGAAATGGCTTCTGGCGGATGATTACGCTGCCTTCACAGCCTATCAGCCAGATCCGGTCAAATTATCCAAAGCTACCTTTGAAAAATTCCGCCACATAACGCGAAGTGTCCTAGATCACCCAGATAAAATCCTAGCATTAATTATATCGCTTATTCTGGGCGACCAGGGCAAAAATCCAGTTCTAGTGGACCAAGTGACCAGTCAAGAAGGATTGAGGGGAGACGAAGAAGTGAACCATGATGAAATCCTCCAAAAGGCAATTGCCGAGGGGGGATTCTCCGAGTCACTGGGGTTGCTTCCCCCTCCATTGAAGGATGATGTAATCCTAGGGGTAAAGCTCGGAGCAGAGCTTAATATTCCTCAGTTGACTCAAGGTGAGAACGTTCCCGGAAGCCTGAAGGGCCTCCTCATGCTTTCAGGTCACAAACAGGCTTTCGATTTGAAGTATCTGGAGATCATGTTCGACGTGGCAGGCGCGGGGGGTCATATTGACGCCCGCGGTGCAACCCGCATGATCGAGCCAGTTTGTCAATCCCTCTTGCTCGCCCACCCAATACTCGAGCGCGTCACAGCCGGACAGCTTTCTCTCAGGGATGCTTATGATGAAGTCCTGCGAAACCGAGGCTGTATATTAAGCAAGAAGGGCTTCAAAGAACTTTCCACTGCTGTTCCAGCCGATCGGGCCTTCCTTCGTCTCTGTGCCATGGGTAGAGTAGCTGATCTACCCCTGGCACAACTGTTTGATGAGGCGTTCAATAGTCTTCCAGACGAGACGCGGGATGCCCTTGTTAATGGGTTAAATGTTGATGGCTTGGACGACGGACAGGCTGTGATTCTGTATTACATGCCCGCTTTATTTGCCGAACTACTGAGGGTCACTAAGGATTTGTCCAAGCCCGGCCGGCTGGAAGCCCTTGTATATTTGTTATCCTTTATGGCGCGAACATACAAGGGCTCCAGTCCCCATAAAGGCGAAAAGGGCTCTATAATAGAACGCGACGTATCCCCGGCGAAGGATATTGTTGTGCAACAAGGACCTACTGCCTTGGATGGCTACGACCTACCTGCAAGGATATGACAGACATCATTCCTGTAGTGAGTATCGCAGTCTCAATATTCGGTTAATAATCAAAGCTACTTTGACATATGACCAATAATTGAGATTGAATTCTTTCTATTTTTATTTTCTTGGTGTCTACTCCACGGCGTTTCTTTTGTTTGGTGGCTCCTGGCTCTTTCCAATTCCATTCCATCTCATTCATTTTTGCGTAGTGTCCCTGCTTATTATGGTATTCATGGCTCCTTACGAACAGAAGCCATTCGCTAAGCTTTCGATTGCATGGCCTTGCTGACGTGGATTTGGTCCAAGGTATACAGACTTGAACACTCAGCTCGCAAGCAGGCGGGGAGGTGGTTCTAGGTGCTGATATAGCAAACAGAGAAGACTTGTAGTGGGTCTGGAAACCGTAGGTAAGTAGGCTAACTGCGGTACGCGAGCGAGCGGGTGCTCTGGCGCTGAAACATTCTTATTACAGCAAGGTGATGCAGGAATCAGTTGTTTTTCTGATGTTTTGCATTTGTGAGGTTTCTGATTACAAAGCCTCTGGCACGTGATTTATGCTTACTGGCCGGTGATGGCTCCGCAAGCGTTCAATCAAGTGAATAGTTACGTAAGACGGTCATGTGATTGTGTGCTGTTGACCCGGCCATCGCTCTGTAGTCAACCTTCCCTTGTTCTCTTTTTCCCCAAGACTTAATTGTTTTATCAATGTTCATATGGTATCATCACATCCAGGAGTATCGACAGCCAAGGGATGGCTTCGGAACAACATACTACCGCCGGGGAAAAAGAAGCTATCTTGTCAGCCGTCACAGCTTGTGGAGTCGCCGGTGTGCCTGACTAGAAAGTCTGGACTGGCTTACGTCGCGGGAGTGATCACGTGACCGTTCGCTTCCGGCGCCCGGGTTCATTAGTCGGATTAGCTAGCTGCCCTTTGCACGAATCAACCATCTTGCTTCATTACTGTACCTATGGGTTCCTGGGTTTGCATTATGCAATGGTCCAATCACTGGGGCCTGGCCCAACTGGACTGAATCCATCCAACGCGGCCATCACTTCTTTGCCCCCCGTCTGAAGTTCTCTCTCACCAGTCCTGCCACCACACCACGTGCTCTACAGACGCCCCGATCAGAAATCTCGGATCAGCCAGGAAACCCGCAGGATTCACGAAACCCCCCCCCAAAAAAAAAACAAAAAAAAAAAAAAGAGGAGCCCGCGATGGTGTGGAGGGCAAATCGGGGAGGACGGATGCGCGTGCGGAGAGGGCTGACGACTCCCTCTTAGGCAGTCATTTTCTGGCCGGCGCCAATTTTCGGCCATAAGAAAAACACCCTTCCCACCTTCCCACCTTCCCACTGGCCCCAGTCCACTTGGGGCCTGTTAGATTATTAGTGTTATGCTCCCCCAGGCTGCTTTCGGCTTCCCCCTTTCCCTCTCCTCGTCTTCTGACCTTTCCTCCGTTCCCCTCTTTACCCCCATCTCCCTGATTACTGTAGCCGTGGCTTGCTTGCAATGACGGGGGCCACCTGGACACGATGGGTGCTGGCCCTGATGCTGGCGGTCCTCGGGGTCCAAGCGATCGATCTCGACATCAGTAGTGAGGGTATGTGATTATCCCCCCCCCCTCTCTCTCTCTTGATCTTTCTCTAGGGGATGCGGCTCATGGCTCCGTTATCGCCAGCGAAATCCCCGGTTCTGACTGTGAATTGCCACAGATTCGGTCAAAGATGCGGCCTCAACAGCGGCCTATGGTATGATGAAGCACTACAAAGGAAACTTGACGGGTGAAATTCCCGGAAAGATCCCCAACACCTGGTGGGAGGGCGGGGCCATGTTCATGGCCCTCATCCAGTACTACCACTACACGGGCGACTCCACCTACAACAGCGAAGTCATCACGGGAATGCAGTGGCAGTCGGGTGACTGTGATTACATGCCGTCGAACTGGAGTAGCTACATCGTAAGTCATCCGCTTCCTGGCCGTCCGACACCCGGTCTCATGCCTGCATCCAGGGAAACGACGACCAGATGTTCTGGGGACTAGCAGCCATGACCGCCGCCGAATTGGACTTTCCCGACTCCACCGAAGGATACTCATGGCTTGCTCTAGCGCAGGGTGTCTTCAACACCCAGGTGGCTCGTTGGGATAATAGCACCTGTGACGGTGGTATGCGGTGGCAGATCTGGACCTACGAATCCGGTTACACGATGAAGAACTCCATCTCCAACGGAGGTCTCTTTCAACTCTCCGCCCGTCTGGCCCGCTACACTAGCAACGCTACCTACGCCGAGTGGGCAGAGCGCATCTTCGACTGGGCGGTCTCGTCGCCCCTGGTGAGCAACTCGACGTGGAACGTTGCCGACTCGACGAGTATCACCAACGACTGCACCACCCAAGGCGACGATCAATGGACGTACAACTATGGCGCCTTCCTCGCGGGCGCCGCCTACATGTACAACTATGTAGGTGCAATTCCATCGGATCAAGCGAACCGTCCACTAACCCATCCCAGACCAACGGCACCGTCTCGAAATGGTACTCCGCCACCCACGGCCTCCTGAACGTCACCTTGAGCGAATTCTTCCCCACCTCGCACGGCGGAGAGATCATGTCGGAGATTCTATGCGAGCCGCTCGAAGTCTGCAACGACAACGAAATCATCTTCAAGGGCCTTCTCTCCAGCTGGCTGGCCTTCACGGCCTACCTGGTGCCATCCACATACAGCCAAATCCTCCCCAAACTGCAGGGTTCCGCCGTGGGAGCCGCGAAGACCTGTACCGGATACGGCAACAACACATGCGGTGTACGGTGGTGGAACGGCACCTGGGACGGGTGGAGTGGGCTCGAGGAGCAGATGGCGGTACTCAGTCTCTTCACCGCAAACATGCTCCCCTTCACCAGCGCCTCGTCCGGACCCTTGACCTCGTCCACGGGAGGCAACAGTACCAGCGACCCATCGGCCGGAACCGGGGACTCCAACAATGACCAGAAAACATTAAGTAAGATCACCACAGGCGACCGCGCCGGGGCGGGTATCCTGACGGTGGTGTTTTCCGTCGGCTGGATTGGCATGATTGCTTGGCTGTTCATGGGATAGGATTCTTTAGCGCATGTATACATAATTCTCTTTTTCTTTTTCTCTTCTCTTCGGACCTGGCAAGCGGTCTCTTGTACATAATCAGAACGTTTCTATTTGATGATATCAGGGATTTGTAAATCAAACATGATCACTTTTGTAAATCATGTTATGTTGACGGGAAATTCACTCTGTCTTAATATTAAGGCCGTGAGGTTTTTCATGCCGATACATCTATGACATCATGCTCCCTTACAGTGTGGCTAATCGGAGCCCGAATCGCGGCCCACAGTGCCGGGTCTTGATCACCATTGGCATTGCAGAGCAAACGATGCAATCACAACCCATGTGCAGGCTACATGCATTACACATTCTACGGTACTGTTAATAACCTTCTACCAACCCAGGCTGCTTCTCCTTCTCCTTCTTCTCCTTCAAAACTGTCCGCATGCTCGCTACTAAAACGCTGCCGAGTGATAAAACACGTTAGCGACAAGCCCATACCCCGCCAGTGAGGCAGACGGCCTTATTAGATAATTAATATATAAGTACTATACCCCAAGAGCCGGGGTGTTTCGTACCTAACGCTGAGCAAGTCGCAAATGGTAATAAAGAACAGCAGCACGAGACCGCTACTCACGATGCCTTGGATACCAGGGCCTGGAATCAACATCAGCATATCATTTGCGGTGGTATATATGCCATATTTCTATACTCGTTTCATCTATCCATACTTATTAATACTCCTGAACAGGTACGGGAAACAGGAGAAAGATCAATAGGAGATCGTCTGCCTTGTATCCATGCTATCCGGTAGTAGTAGCAATAACGTTGGATTTACGTGTGGGTCCGTTGTAGATCTCACACGGCCCGATTGCCGGTATATATAGTATACTCCGTGAAGCAGGTTTCTTTTCTTAGTAATGTTGTCACTGAGGAGTACCGTGCTTGAACATAAGATATCGCCCAAGGCATTGTGATGCAGTAACAAAACGACTACAATGAACGATGTAGAAATCAAATCTCATCCAAGTTCTACCTGCACCAATCAAAAGGCTTGTTCCTTTATCCAGGAGAAACAAATCCAACATCTGCGGACGGGTTGAAGTTACTTATACACATTATAGTATACATCCCCCTACTGAAAGAGGAATGGTATGGACGATATCGGAGGGTTAAACACGTCTTGCTTCCAGCTTTCTCTCTCCCCGGATTCTTGTCTCCGGAGTCTGGACGGGCCCAGGGCCTCAGACTCAGAGGCTCAGACAAGCCGTTCGGCACCACGGCTGCTGGGCCTGGGTCTGCCCTGCCGGCAGTAAGTAAGACGGCGTGGCGTGTCTGCTAAGTCGAAATAGGCTTGAACTCCGTGTCCTCGTTTGTCCGACTCAAAGCACCCACCCAAGCTGCGGAGGCATGACTGCAGTGGGAGCAGCGGTTCGATTACTAGATCTTATGTTTTGGTTGACCTATTGGTATTCTGGCGGGGTCTAGCAGAGGGCAGTCGTTGGCCTCGGCAGTGAGAGTGGGCAGTGAGTCAATGGACGGGTGGGATGGAAGGCAGAAGAAAACGGGAAGGATGGGATATACCGGGCGCCGGAGCTATTATTGTTGGGGGTCAACAGTAGTAGTAGTGGTAGTACTTAGTGGATCGGCAACGCCCCGCCCGTCAAACGAACTGATGGGTGCCTGGGTGACTTCTGCCGTCTGCCTTCGTGCCTGAGCCGTGTGCCTCGGCAGTGGCTGTCTGCCGCTGTCTATCAATCAATCAACGTACGGAATACTCCGTCCTGCAGATCTCTCCGATACTTTTGACTCTCTCTCTCTCCACCTTCAATCCCATTGTTGTCTTGTCCCTTCAACCCCTCCCCTTTCTTCATTCTTTCTCTTTCCTCTTTCTCCCAGTCCCCACCCTGCCACTCTCCTCTCCTCTCCCCTCCCCTCCCTCTCATGCCTCCTGTTGGCGCCGCCCTGTGGCGCTCCCTGCGCGCCCACCAGGTGTACGGGGCCAACACCGACGTCGGCAAGACCATCGTGTCCACCGTCCTCTGCAACGCCATCCAGCGCAACCAGGCTGCCCCACGGCTGCCTTCCTCAAGCCCGTATCTACCGGCCCCTTGAACGACGCCGATGACAGGTCCGTCCTATTCCCGTGGTGAGGTTTCCCCAGCTAACCATTGCAGGCATCTTCAACGATACGCGAACGGCATCCTGACAGAATGCCTGTATCAGTTCGACGAACCCGTCAGCCCGCACATTGCGGCGCGACAGAAGTCCCTCACCGTAAGCCCCCCAGTCCTGTTGCCTCCGCAGATACTGACATCTCAACAGATCCCGCGCGACGATGAGATCCTCACAGCCGTACGCCAGACCCTGTCCGACTGGGCCGGCACGGGCATCAACTTCGCCCTGGTCGAGACAGCCGGCGGCGTGCACTCACCTGGCCCTAACGGCAACTCGCAGGCTGACCTCTACCGGCCGCTGCGCCTGCCCATCGTGCTCGTCGCTGACTCCCGCCTCGGCGGCATCTCCTCCTCCATCTCCGCCTACGAGTCGCTCCGCCTGCGCGGCTACGACGTCCACTCCGTCCTCCTGTTCCGCGATGACTACTACCAGAATCATGAATACCTCCGCACATACTTCCAGAAGAAGAGCATCCCCCTCGTGCCGTTACCGTCGCCCCCCGCGCGGCCCCAATCGCACGAGCCAGACGCTGTCGCGCGCGACGAGGAGGCCATGGCTGCGTACTACGACCGTGTTGCCCGCGGCACCGACGTGACGGGCCTGCTGGAGGAGCTGACGGCCAAGAACACCGCCCGCATCGAGCGTCTGGAGGCCATGCCCGGGCGGGCGCATGAGACCATCTGGTACCCGTTTACGCAGCATCACGGCATGGCCCCCACGGACATCACCGCCATCGACTCCGCCTACGACGATTTCTTCCAGACCTACCGACCCGCAGCCTCGCCGGAGGGCGGCCTACGCGCGACGTTCGACGGCTCCGCGTCGTGGTGGACGCAGGGGCTCGGTCACGGCAACCCCGACCTAGCCCTGTCGGCCGCATACGCCGCGGGGCGCTACGGGCACGTCATGTTCCCGGGCAACATCCACGAGCCCGCGCTGTCGCTGGCGGAGACGCTGCTGGAGAGCGTCGGCAACCCGAGGCTGCAAAAGGTGTTCTACACGGACAACGGCAGCACGGGGATGGAGGTGGCCGTCAAGATGGGGCTCCGGGCGGCGTGCCATCGTTACGGCTGGGACGCCAGCCAGGAGCAGATCAGCATCTTGGGGCTTAAAGGCAGCTACCACGGCGACACGATGGGCGTGATGGACTGTTCGGAGCCGTCCACCTACAACAAGAAGGTTGAGTGGTACCGCGGGCGCGGCTACTGGTTCGACTTCCCGCAGGTGCGCCTGTCGCAGGGGACGTGGCGCATCGCCATGCCGGTCGACATGGAGGCGCTGGGGCCGGACCTGCAATTCGCATCGCTGTCGGCAGTCTTCGATCTGGAAGCGCGGGTGCAATCGGAGGCGGGGCAGCGCTACAAAGAGTATATCCGGGCGACCCTGGAAACGCTGGTGCAGCAGCACGGGATGAAGTTCGGCGCGCTCATCATGGAGCCGGTCATCTTGGGGGCCGGAGGAATGTTGTTTTGGTCCGTTCGTCTTACAATTTCCCTGGTCAGCGCTAACAACAAACAGTGATCCCCTCTTCCAACGGTGCCTTACCGAGGTGGTCCGTGGTCACCCGGAGCTGTTCGATGAGGACGCCCCGCGCGCCTCCTCCACCCCGGCTGGGCAACCGTCCTGGTCCGGATTGCCCGTGATCTTCGACGAGGTGTTCACCGGGCTGTATCGCCTCGGGCGCCGAACCGCGGCGTCGTTCCTGGGGGTGGACGCGGACGTGGCGGTCAACGCGAAGCTGCTGACCGGAGGGCTGGTGCCACTGTGCACGACGCTTGCCAGCGCGGAGATCTTCGAGGCGTTCTCCAGCCCGGAGAAGAGCGACGCGCTGCTGCACGGGCATAGTTACACGGCACATGCGGTCGGGTGCCAAGTCGCGGTGGATTCGCTGCGGACGATGATGCAGATGGAGCGGGACGGGTCGTGGGATGCGTCCCGGCGCGACTGGCAGAGCAGCAGCAGCAGCGACGGCGACAGCCCGGAGGCTTGGAGCACATGGTCGCACGGGCTGGTCCACGACCTATCGTACGGGGAGGGGGTGGAGGGGGTGTTCGCGATGGGGACGGTGCTGAGCATTTCGCTGAAGGACACGCAGGGCGGAGGTGAGAATGCCTTCTACTGACCGAGGCTAGCCGGAGAGCTAACAGCTAACATCTATCTATCTATCTGCAGGCTACACGTCGACGGCGGCGCAGGGGCTGCAGCAGGCGCTGGCGGCGGGCGGGCGGGAGTTTGCGGTGCACTCGCGGGTGCTGGGCAATGTGCTGTACCTGATGGCCAGCATCACAGCCCAAGCCGAGGCACTGCGGGCGATCGAGGGTTTACTGCGGGCAGCCCTGCTGGACGGGGCTGTATCCATACCCGGGGCGACTGACTGACTGACTGACTGACTGCAGACTGCAGACTGCAGACTGCAGACTGTCGCAAGTCCAAAACCCACGTACCTATAGTCCTCCTCACTATCCATCCTACTCCGACTATAGTCCTAGATCTTCTGCATGATTAATTGATCTGCTCGACTTCATCTGCAGCATAACTCACCGGCAGCCCGAACAGTGCGCCCACCGCCCACCGCCAATCAGCGGCTCGGATATCCGCTTACGTTTCTCCCTTGGCCCGGTTCTCCGGGTTCTGGGCTTCGCTCTGGCCCTGCTTAGATGTCTCGGCCTCTCTGTCTATCCCACCTGGATGATCGCAGACAATTCCTCTCCAAGCGATAATCTCGTCTCAACCGTGCCTGTCCCTGACTCAATACGCAACTCTGTTCCCCTTTAGGTTCCGGCAGCGTGGCTGACAACCAGACAAGGAGGAGCCGCCCTAATCCACCGTAAACACAACCATCAACTAGCGATATTGATATTCCTGTTGAACTTGACTCAGTCCCCAACTCCCCAGTCAACCGGTTGGGGTCAACAGTCTCCCACACACGCCGCCGGAGTGGCGGAGATCTCGATCGACGCGTCGCAGCTAGTCGTGGGCTAGTCGCTTGGGATTCCCCACAGTGAGTAATCGCAGGCTGATGGGTTGATTCTGAGGGGATCCACAGCTCCTCTTTCACCGTCATCCCCCGGTGAACTGCCCCTCTTTCCCCTCTCACCCGAGGTTGTCGTGCTGTTGTCCCCAGTTGGTTACTTGGCATTCCTTTCCCTGCTGCTACTTCTGCCTGTATACCCTCACCTTCACTTATCACTACCACCGTCAACACCACCACCACCACCACCGCCACCACCATGTCCCTCCCCCGTGCCCTCCCCAGGGCCCTGCTCCGCCGCTCCTACGGCACCGTGCAGTCCTCCCCCAGTACCGCCTCCATTGCCAGTCGCATTCCCGTCGCTCTGCAGGAAGCGACTGCTGCCGTAGCCCCTCGCACCAGCTGGACCCGCGAAGAAGTGCAACATATCTACGAGACTCCTCTAAACCAACTTACCTATGCCGCTGTAAGCTGAGCATTCGAACCCCCTCCGCAAACACCCCCTACTAACACATCCAGGCCGCCATCCACCGGCGCTTCCACGACCCCTCCGCCATCCAGATGTGCACGCTCATGAACATCAAAACCGGCGGCTGCAGCGAAGACTGCTCGTACTGTGCACAATCCTCCCGGCACTCGACCGGGCTAAAAGCCACCAAGATGTCGCCCGTCGACGACGTGCTCACGGCCGCCCGCATCGCTAAAGCCAACGGCAGCACGCGGTTCTGCATGGGCGCGGCCTGGCGCGACATGCGTGGCCGCAAGACCTCGCTTAAAAACATCAAGCAGATGGTCTCTGGCGTACGAGACATGGGCATGGAAGTGTGCGTCACGCTCGGCATGATCGACGACACGCAGGCCAAGGAGCTGAAAGAGGCCGGCCTGACCGCCTACAACCACAACCTGGACACATCGCGCGAATTCTACCCGTCGATCATTACGACGCGGTCATACGACGAGCGTCTACAGACGCTCGCGCACGTGCGCGATGCCGGAATCAACGTCTGCTCCGGCGGCATCCTCGGTCTCGGCGAGGAAGACAAGGATCGCGTCGGCCTCATCCACACCGTCTCGTCGCTACCCAAACACCCCGAGTCGTTCCCGGTGAACGCCCTCGTCCCGATCCCGGGCACGCCGTTGGGCGAGCGGAAGATGATCTCCTTCGATAAGCTGTTGCGGACGATCGCCACGGCGAGAATTGTGCTCCCCGCGACGATTGTCCGGTTGGCCGCGGGCCGTATCTCATTGAGCGAGGAGCAGCAGGTGCAGTGTTTCATGGCTGGGGCGAATGCCGTCTTCACAGGTGAGAAGATGTTGACGACGGAGTGTAATGGCTGGGATGAGGACCGCGAGATGTTTGAGAAGTGGGGATTCTATCCCATGAAGAGCTTCGAGAAGGGCGAGGAGGTCACTGTGTTGGAGGGTGAGGCTGCGCCGGTCGCGGCTCGTTCGTAGGCTATCCGGTACGGAGGAGTAGGAGTAGTAGGAGTAGTAGTATCCAGCAGTTTTCGAATGGTTGATTGATTCCACACTAGACCCATATTATATAAGCGTGACTAACCCATTCTGCCAGCCACGTGTTTAGTCACGTGGGGAGTTCGCCCAGCCACTGCCGGGCTCAGGCGGTCATCAAACGTTTCGTTGTTCATCATTGGCCTGGGCTCCTCCAATTCATCATGTCCCGATGATTTGAACAAGGCGTCATCGATCGTGTTCGCCTGTAGCAAGAGTAGCCCCGTGACGGCTCGCCTCCTGCGCTCGGGGGGCTTTAATCGGAGTAGCTAGCCGACCACAATCTTGCCTCTATCACAAATGGCTACAGGTTTGATGAACACATACATGCGATATCTTAAGCAGGCTACCCGCTGACAGCCTCCAGTGCGAATCTGCGTCTGTGGAGACGAGGGCACTGGCAAGTCCAGCCTCATCACCTCCCTTGTGAAGGGGGTCTTTGTGACGAACAAGATCCAGCCCATCCTCCCTCAAATCACGATTCCTCCCACCATCGGGACCCCCGAGAACATTACCACCACGACGGTGGTGGACACCTCGTCTCTTCCGCAGGAGCGTAATAACCTGGCCCGGGAAATCCGGAAGTCCAATGTGATTCTGCTTGTATACTCGGACCATTACAGCTATGAGAGGGTTGCTCTCTTTTGGCTGCCGCACTTCCGGTCGCTGGGGTGAATGTCCCCGTGGTTCTGTGCGCGAACAAGTCCGATCTCGCCGCGGGCCATACCGAGGCTCAGGTCATCGAGGAGGAAATGCTCCCGTTGATGGCGGAGTTCAAGGAGATCGACTCCTGCATCCGGACCAGCGCTCGCGAGCATCAGAATATCAACGAGGCCTTCTTCCTCTGCCAGAAGGCGGTCACCCATCCGATCGCGCCGTTGTTCGACTCCAAGGAATTCTCTCTCAAGCCGGCGGCCATCGCGGCGCTGCAACGCATCTTTTACCTGAGTGATCAGGATAGAGACGGGTTTTTATCCGATAAGGAGATCGAGGAATTCCAAATCAGATGCTTCGAGAAGCCCTTGAGCGGGGAGGATCTCCTTCATATCAAGGAGACCATTCAGAGAACGCACCCTCACTCGGTGACTCCGTCGGGTATCGACTGCAGTGGGTTCCTACAGCTCAACAAGATATATGCCGAGAAGGGCCGGCACGAGACCATCTGGATAATCCTACGTGCCTTCCAATATACAGACAACCTGTCCTTACAGGAGACCTTCCTGCATCCGAGATTCGAGGTGCCCCCGTTTGCGTCCGCCGAGCTCTCGCCGGAGGGATACCGGTTCTTTGTAAATCTTTTCCTCCTCTCAGACAAGGACAACGACGGAGGGCTGAACGACGCGGAGCTGGCGTCGTTGTTCGCGCCGACCCCCGGATTGCCCGCCTCCTGGACGGACGGGTTCTTCCCCTCGTCCACCGTCCGCAACGAGGCCGGCTACGTGACCCTCCAGGGATGGCTTGCGCAGTGGAGCATGACCACCTTCACATCCCCCAAGACAACCCTGGAATATCTCGCGTATCTAGGCTTCGAGTCCGCCGACCGCAGCAACCCGTCCACCACAGCCGCCCTCAAAGTGACACGACCCCGCAAGCGGCGCAAGCGCCCCGGCCGAGTCGGCCGCAACGTCGTCCTCGGGCATATCCTGGGGGCTCCCGGGTCGGGCAAGTCCGCGCTCCTCGACGCTTTCCTCTCGCGTGGGTTCAGCCCGCTGTACCACCCGACCATCCAGCCCCGGACGGCCGTCAACACCGTCGAGCTCCCGGGGGGCAAGCAATGCTATCTCATCCTCGGCGAGCTGGGGGAGCTGGAGCCCGCCATCCTCGAGAACCAGGTCAAGCTCCTGGACCAGTGCGATGTCATCGCGTATACTTATGACTCGTCCGATCCCGATTCCTTCGCCTATATCCCTGCCCTGCGCGCCAAGTACCCTCACCTGGAAGAGCTCCCGAGTGTGTTCATTGCTCTCAAAGCCGATCTCGATCGCACTACCCAGCGCGCCCAGCTCCAGCCCCACGAATACACTGCCATGTTGAACATGTCCAGCCCGCCCCTCCACGTCAGTGCCACTTGGGCTTCCATTCAAGAGGTCTTTGTCCATATCGCTGAAGCCGCTATGGAGCCTATCACCGCCTTCCCCCGCACCGAGGACGATGTAGAGGGTAAGTGGATGTCCTGGGGGATTACCCTGGGCGCGGTGGTTTGTGCTGGAGCTGCGGCGGTTATGATATGGAGGAGAGTCAGCGGTAGCGGGGTTTGAGGGGATGGGGGGTTTTGGGGGGGGGGTTGTTAAGCCGGATGATCATGGAGTTCATCTTGTAAATTATAACCAGGGTCTTGTCCTATTGTCAAACCTAATCATTCAGTATCACACCTACTTAGGTGTCTGGACATCTTTTTAGTCGAGTGATCTGTTTGATCTGATAGTTATAAGCCCGGCCCGCCTATTTCTAAGCATAGAAGAAGACATGCATTGCCTTGACATACCCGAAGACTGCAGATTCAAATTATAGATATATTAAAGAAAAAGATTAAAGTTAAGATCACGTGCATAAGAAAGAAGTTCTTGACAGTTAAGACATATACTGCTGAGATTAAGCCAAGAATAGATTATCAGAAAATTATTGTTATCTGCAAGTCTAGAAGAATATATTAAATCTAATTATTCAGTATCACACCTACTTAGGTGTCTGGACAACCTTTTAGTCGAGTGGTCTGTTTGGTCTGATACCTATACTGGCTGCCTTTTTGACATCTTAATGAATGGTCAGTTTCTGCCTGAGGGCCTTGTGTACGTAAGCTATTGGTCAGCAGGATCATGCTATCTGATATGATGCAATTGGTTACCACGGATAGAATATGGTTGTTCCATCTCCGGCTTACTAAGAGTGGAACATAGTTATTCTATAACTGGCTGAGTAAACGGCCTACTGATAGAGTGGCTAACAGCCAGATTAGATCAGGTTAATTGGAATTTTTATATCTAACTGCTAGATTATAATTAGATTAAGAAAATTTTTATATCTAATTATAATATAGCTAAAAACTAAATAATTAATTATTTTAATTATTTTTAATATTAAGATCTATTTACTATATTTTTTTAAGCTCTAGTATAATTAAGATATATTTAAATTAAATAATTATTAATTTAACTATTTTTATTATTATCTAAAAATATATAAAAAGAAGCTTTTTAAATTAAAAAAATATAATTAAAAATAGAGTAGCAGGTCTGAGATAGAGTGGCTAACAGCCAGGTCAGATCAGGTTAATTAGAATTTCTATATCTAATCACTAGATTATAATCAGATTAAGAAAATTTTTATATCTGACCGCGATATAGCTAAAAACCGGATAATTAATTATTTTAATTATTTTTAATATTAAGATTTATCTATTATATTTTTTTAAGCTCTAGTATAATTAAGATATATCTAGATTAAATAATTATTAATCTAGCTATTTTTATTATTATTTAAAAATATATAAAAAAAACTTTTTAGATTAAAAAAATATAACTAAAAAAAAAATTAGTATTTTTTTTATTATTATTTATTAAAAATAATAAAAAAATCCTAGTTATATTAATAAAATTTAGTTTTTTATAAAATTATTATTTTTATAATAAAAAATATATATAAAAATATATGTCAACAATATAGGCAGACTCGCCAGTTCGCTGCCTAAGGCTCATCAGTTTGCGGCCTCAGGCCAGTTAGCTGCCTTAGGCCACCAGTTGACAGACTGATAATTCCAAGTTCTGCCTATCCCGCAGCGGAGTAAGAGATCTTACTTTTATTAATTATTCTAGTCTCTATTTAATCACTGATTCTATTATTCTCGGCCCTGTTTTATTTATATAATTTTTATATAATTTTTATATAATTTTATATATTTTTATATGCTTTTAATAGCTAATTAGCTATAAATATAAATAAAAAGATCTCTTAATTTTTAATCAGTTTTTTAGAGTGGCTTAATCTGACTGTTATATCTTAACCTTAATCTGGTCATAATCTGATAATTAGATTAAGATATAAAAAATTTTTAACTATATAGTTAAGATTAGATTAAGATATAATTATTATTATAATTATTTATATCTGCTGATTAGAAAGATCAGATATAGTAGATAAATTAATAATTATAGATTAATTTATAATATATATATTTTTTTTATATAAATAATATATAAAGTATAATATATATTTAATTATAGTATAGAAATAATAATATTCTTTAGATATAGTCTATTATTTAATCTATTTAACTAATTATATTAAAAAATATACTATACTTTAAAAAAAACTTTTATAAAATCTAGTATAAAAAAAATAAAAAAAAATATAGAATATTTATTTTTTATACTATTTAGAATAATAATTATAATAATATAAAAATTATAAAGACCGGGTCTCTATTTTTATTTAAATATATATAATAATTAAAAACTTAGATAAGATTAGTTTTTTTAATTTTAATAATAATCTATTCTCTAGATTATTTTCAAGATTATTTATATTTTTATTCTTATTAATATAAAAGATAATAATTATCTTATTTTTCTCTTACTTTTTAAATATAAAAATAATTAAATCTAGATTAAAATTATTAAATATATTCTAATACTTCTTATTTATAATAAAATAATTAATATATATTTAAAATATAACTATTTTAATTATATTAAAATTAAAACAGCTCCGGCAATAGTAGCAGATATCTTAAAAATTATTAAAAAAATATTTAATATTAATATTATTAATTATAATTAAGAGAAAATCTTTAGTTATTTAATAAAGAATAGAAAACTAATTATAGTAGAATTTTTAATAAATAAGAATATTAATATATTCTATAATATCTAAAATTATATTAGTTTAATTAAAGATATCTTAAGAAGCTATATATCTTTAATATCTAGATATATCTTAAGTTTTTTATATATCTTAACTGCAGATAAAAATCTCTAATATTTAAAAATATTATAAAAGATCTTATTTAGATTTAATAATAATTCAGAGATTATTAATAATATATTAATTATTAGATTTTAACTAGAATAAAAAAAAATATCTTTTTAAAGATAGTTTAATATTTATAATATTAATTAATATTTTTATTCAGCTATATATTTTTTTTAAATTTTTTAAGCTTTAATATTAGATTTAGAATAATTATAATTATATAAATATAATCTTCTATTTAATAAATATAATAATAATATTTTTAAAGCTTTTAATATATATTATATAAGCTCTTAAAAATCTTTTTTTTTTAGAATATCTGCTTTCTTTTCAGTCTGTTAATTAAATAATTTAGATAATTAAAAAGATTATTATAAATATTATAAATTTTATAAATAATAGACTTACTGTTCTTAGAAAGATAAAAAATAAAAAGAAAAAAGAAATATAAAAATTTAAAATAATATTTTATTTATTTTTACTCTATTATAATAGAATAAAAATAATTAATATTATTATATTTATAATATTAAATAAAACTTTTAATTATTTAACAGAGTTTAAATATTTAATAAATTATAAGATAGATTAAGTTCCAGCAGATTTTATAGTTAAAAAGAAGATAATAGACTAAGCTAGATTTAAGTTATTAAATAAATAAGAACTTCTTATAATATTAAAAACTTATATTTATAAATTATATAATTTTTTAAATTTATAATTAAGAATTAGTATAATAAACTAGCTGATAGAAGATTTCTAAAAGTTTTTTATAAAAAAAGATTTTATATTAATCTTTTATAAATAACTTCTAGAATATATTTTTTTAAAAATTCTTAAAATATTAAAAGAGATTTTAAGACTTTTATTATTATTTTTTTATATATATTTAATAATATTATTTAAGATCTTAATTTAAAGTTTTTGCAGAAGAGTATTAATTATAAGCTAAATTATATAAATAAAATAAAAAATATAATACTAATTTTAAATAATCTTTAAAAAATTAGAGTTAACTAGAATATTATAAAATTAAATATTCTGATTAAGTTAAGTTCAGAGTTTAGCTAAGATTATATTAAATATTATATTATTATTACTAGTATTATTAGTTATTATATCTAATAACTAATAGATAAGATTATATTTATATAAGACTAATAGAATAATTATAGCTAGATTTTTATTAATATAAGATTTAGATATTAATTAAAAATTTAGTAAAATCTTATAATAGTCTATATCTTTTATTAAAAAATATTTAATTAAATTAAGAAATATTTTCTAATCAGGGCTGATTTAATAGTCTATTATAATTAATATTTATTTAATATCTAAGAATTTTAATAACAGCTGTATATATATCTCTTTAGATAGTTTTATAAAATATTCTTTAATTTATATTTAATTAAAAGAACTTGATTTTTGATAGAAAGATAAAATAATAAGATTAATTATTTATTTAAATTAAATATATTTAATAATTTAAAATAGTAGATAATAGATAATTATAAAATATAAAACTTAATTTTAAAAATCTTATTTATTATAAATTATAGAGATCTAGAGAAAAATAATAATTAAAAAAGATTTATTTTAAAAAAATAAATAAATATCTATAATAGCTCTTTACTTAGTATCTAACTAATTATTTACTTAGATATAATTAATAATAATTTCTTTTTATAATTTTTATAGAGATAATAGCTTATAGAACTAGTTTCTGAGTTTTTAATTTCTAGATATTATAAGATATAAAAATATATAATATAATAAATATAAAAAATTTTATTAAAAAATAATATATCTTTCTAAAAATTATTTTATATTATTAATAATTTTTTCTGATTAAAATAAAATAGTAATTTTTTAATTTATATATAATCTTTAAAAAAAATTATCTTCTGCTATTAATCCTGGAAAATAAAAAGCTTTTTTTAAAAAATTAAATATAAAATAATTTTTTAATTTTTTGTGATATATATAATCTTAAGATTTAAAAAAGAAGAAAAGATCTGACTTAAGAAGCTTATTTTAGTTTAAATATTATTATAATTTATAAAGATCTAAGAAACAGAAGAAGAAGACTTAATAATATTTTTTAAAAATAAATTAGATAATTATAATTAATTTATAATTTTAAAGTTATTCTATAAATAATAAATATAAAAAAATAAAAATAGAAAATTCTATAAAGATAGTTTATTTTATTTTAAGATATAACTTTATATAAATATAATCTATTATATTTTAATATACAGCTGAGATATCTGCTATATTTTATTTATTT